TAATAAATTGATCAACAAAGATGAGGACAATAGTCCGAAAAATAAAAATTTATATAAATCTCATCTATAAATATAGACAGATATATAAGATAAATAAAATGTACAATTAAAATATTTGTAATAAATATACGAAAAAGATGATTTTTCCGAATAAAATTAAATAATGCAATTGTTCTAATGTTTTTTAAAGATTAATGGTAGTGAATTTTGAAATTAAATAATTTGAAACAGACATAGTATTCGAAATATTGTTTAAAATTATCAAACACCGTTTTTTTTTTCTTTTTCTTTTCTTAAAATAGCCTTCTTAAAATATTATTAATTATTATTATATTTTTTTTGATTCCAATCAAAAATGGAGGCTCTTAAAAAATCTCTGAATACAAAATTTATCACTGATGTATTTATGCTCACATATTTAAATTTCCATTTCAAGATCCTTGTATTTTGATAATTATTTGAAGATAAAAAAATCACATTACAACAAAAGGAGATAAATAAATTATTTTATTATTTTTATATTTTTGAGATGAGGATTTCTGACTATGCATAATCATTGCTTTCCGGGTTAGGTGACCAAAATTTTCATCAGAAAAGCCATTTTCCACAAGCATTTTTTGGCAAATAATATCACGCATCTTTAGGATGAAATAGATTTTCTTCAGTATTTGTGGCTTTATATCTCGTGAGAAAAAATATTTTGTATGACACTTAAGTCCCAGATTTCCTTCATTTGGATGAATCTTTTCCAAACAATCTGATATTCACAACAATTGAGTTGTTGATGTCATTATGTGCCAAACTTTGGCATTTCTGATTCAAAGGTCATTTGTATTTTGATTTCTTTTTTGAAGATAAAAATGATACATTGCAGTCTGACAAGGGACTGTCATATCAATAAGGAGGCACATTTTACGTTTTTGACGAAATCTAATTTTTGAAATATCAAGACGATTAGCTTTTTTTTGTTTGTTCTGTTTGTGTTTTTTTTTCAAGTCTAAAAAAATTGTTATTTTTTTCATTTCTGAAACAGGGTCTGGGTGGTCTAAATAAAATTAATTTGCATTTCATTTTTTTGCAGATTAAAAGTAAAGATATTTTTAAAAACTTTGTTATAAAATTGTTTTTTTAAAATTCAATGGATGTCAATTAGTTTTTGCAACCTGATAAAAACAAGATGGTCAATTGTTTTGAAAATAAAAATCACAGAATCTGCATTTTGAGCTAACAGAATTTTTCAGTATTCGTAACTTGGTAATTTCAATTAAACAAAAAAGCATTGGTCCTGATTAGCAAGAATTTTTTGAAGTTTCATTTTAAAACATACGTAGCCACTGATATTAATGGGTTTGTCTACATGAGATTGTTTATTTGACATTCAGAATATTGAAGAATGAAGAGATTTATCTTGTCACAGAAATTATAAAAAAATCTGGTCGGTCACCAATTAATTTTTTTCATTTTTATTTTTTTTAAAAGCTCACAGTAGGTGTATTAATCCAATAAAAATGATTCCATTTTGAACTTGTCAATATCTTTTGTTAAATGAATATTTTTTTTAGTTTTTCATGTTTTAAAAAAACTCCATTTTGAACTTGTTGGCAATTTGTTACTGAATAAAATATATATTTTCATGTTCTTTGAAAATTCCATTTTGAACTTTTGGGACATTTGTTCTGAAAAAATTTTTTTTAAAAATGCGATTTTTTATAGATCATCATCGAGTAGAAAATATTGTTTAGATATTTTAAATACTGGTTTTTTGTAGTTTGTAAGACAGTTCTATTTGAAAAAATCCTCTAAAAAAATTGGAATTTACAAATAACAGACGATCAATGAATTTTGGATGATGCTATAAATAATAAAGTGAGAAGCATTTAATTTTTTTCGTCCATTTTCTTTTTAATGTCAGTTATGGTCTAAAGATATTGAAACTGTATTGTTCAATGAAAAATTTTTTGAGTCTAATAAGTTTTGACTAAATTTCAAATATCCATTACCAGAAAAATTCAGGTGGATATATATTTTTTTTATAAACGAAATAAAAAATATATTTGCGAAAAAAATTAAAATAAGATAATATAAATAAAAGAAAATCAAAATTAAAGGGAAAATAAAATATATAAATTAAATTTTATATATAAATTTCATATAGCTAATATATTGAAACGTGAAACACAGATTGGCATCGGTCAAAGATTATAATGTTCAATTTTTGAACCCAATAAGAGGGATAATAATCAAAATTTAGCGGGAGATAACCCCACGCATTACAAATAGCGGAAGGGTGATTATGAAATTCTAAGAAACAAAAGAAAAAAAAAATTTAGAAGATTTCACATTTGGGTTATATTTCCAAATTGCTCATTATACAGAAACCTAAACATTAAGATGAAAATATATACCAAAATGTTACACGAGTGTATATATATATGTGTAACTAGGTGAGTTAGTCAAAATGATGGATAATTCCCTGTAGAGCAAAGTTAGAAAAATTATCATTACATTTATCCTACCGGAATGACCAGTGCCAATTTTATTTTAGGCGAAGATGAATAAGGAAGAACTACGCCTGACGAATACTTTTACTGCGATATCCAGATTTTGAACCTGCAAGATGGTTGCCATACATGTCTCCTGAAATATGACTTGAAAAAAAAATCTGGATTCTATATATATAGAAAATATATATAAATATATTTAATATAAATATTCTCAATAAAGAAATGGCCGGATAATCACGCTATAAATGCAGTTTTGATTTGAACAGAGGAAAAGAGGAAAATAGAGGTAATAAGCCAATACGATTTTTCCCTTATTTGCTTATTTTATACACACACACATATATATATATATATATATATATATATATATATATATATATATATATTGATTACATGTTAAATATTAAATAATATAGACAAGTTTTGTCTATTTATTTTATGTAAATTCTTTTCATAACGTCTGATAAGTTTAATAACATTATCATTAAACGAAGAAAGAAAATCACAATATTGATATATTTTTTAATCCAATCTAAGCTTTTGGCTTACATAAGCCATTATCAAAGATGTCAATTACTTTACAATATATTAAGCAATACATGAACAAAACAATGATGATAGTCTGTTTCTGTTTACATGGATGATTTCCAAGCAACGACAAACACGTGCATATAAGACGCTGGAAGGAAACATTCACCGCAGATCATGACGTCACACATGACCAATGTATTTATCAGTTCAATTACGCATAGACTCACGTAAATGACCAACAAATCTGAAGCTCAACACCGGTTTAAAATTATAAAAAAACCGAATACATTATACAAAGGTAATATCAGTCTTACTAACAAAAAAAAATATGTTAAAATAAATATGTTAAAATTAAATATGTTAAAAAATATGGATCAATATTGTGATTTTCTTTCTTCGTTTAATGATAATGTTATTAAGCTTATCAGGCGATATGAAAAGAATTTACATAAACTAAATAGACAACACTTGTCTATATTATTTAATGAAACATGTATGAATGAAAAAATGCTGCCAAAATAAACACACACACAATATATATATATATATATATATATATATATATATATATATATATATATATATATATCATGAAATGAACTAAGTCCATCAATTATTTTAATATACTTTTGTTTATACGTTATTTTTATACATACAAATATTTATTTTTTTATAATCAACAGTATTAACTACATTTACCGGCCTGAATGTCTGAGACACATATTTTCTAGAAAATTACACGAACATTCAGGCCGGGACATGTTTTTAATACTATTTATTATAAACAAAAGCATTTACTTAAATATTTGTATCTATATAAAAAAAATAACAATCAAAAAATATATATATATATATATATATATATATATATATAAAATATGTGTGTGTGTGTGTGTGTTCGTGTATTTAGATAGCAAATTCTCTTTTAGACATAAATCTGATTAAATAAATACCAAACATATGTCTGCTAATTTTTAACAAAATCCGTTGATAATAAAATAATCTTAAATATATATAATTTTAAAGGATAAGAGAAATTTGATTATGGATTTTAAATTTTTTTATTTTCATTTCCCAAGCAATGTCCAACCGTTTTGCATTTAAAAGCATAATGAAAAAAATTATGGTAATGTATAACAACGTACAACTTTATATATAAATATATATATTAATGAACAACATAAAGTTTTGTACTAAAACCCCTGAAGATGATCTTGGAAGAACATCGAAATTTACTTAGAAAATGAAAATAAAAGAAATTTAAACATTTATGGCACATTTCTCTCATCCTTTAACATCAATACACGGAAGCTTATTGTGAAGTATGAACTGATTCTGTTAAAAATTAGCAAACATAATGTCTGTAATTTATTCAACTAGACATACATATATATATATATATATATATATATATATATATATATATATATATATATATGTCATTCGCAGATAGTACTATTTCGCCGTATCACAGCTCCTCAGTGCGACTAGACATCCGAATCCTTCAAGCCAGGACCGAATTTTTGACCGATTTGATGTTAGTCAGAGTTTCTGTTGAGCTATCATCTGTCGGCATAAAGAGAGAAACAGCTAATTCTAGCGTATTGTTTTTACGAACTTAAACAAACGCCAATCAGTCAGAGGGCTCCAATTCATTTTTACTAATGAGCTTTGCATTAGCGCAGGTACTGTTGTTTATAGAATTAGCCTATCTTTCAGTGCTCAATTGACATATATTTTCAAGTGTTAATTTCTTTTGGGCACCTTCAAAGATTCGTTAAAAATGAGCAAAGATGATGAAAAATTAACTAAAACTTAATAAAGATAGAAAAAAAAAACAATAATAGATGATTGCTACTTTCCAGTGTTCATTATTTTTATTGTCAATTCTCAAGATCAAAGAAAATGCATAAACAGGGGTGTTGAAGATAACATCAATCGACTAAGTGACATATTATTACTCACTTTAATCAGATAGATAGATAGATAGATAGATAGATAGATAAAATTAATAATAATTGACATATTAAGCAAATCGTTTATAATTATTAATTTACGACCAATGGTTACATATCTAAAAAAAGCTTTATATATATATATATATATATATATATATATATATATATATATATATATTTATATATATATATGTGATGTGTGTGTGTGTGTGTGTGTGTAAATGTGTATTGTGTGTGTGTGTGTGTGTGTGTGTGTACTGGAATACGTATTATGCTTGTTGTTTATCGATCCGTGTTATTCTAGATAGATAGATAGATAGATAGATAGATAGATAGATAGATATTAAGAAACTATGATAGATAGATAGATAGATAGATAGATAGATAGATAGATAGATAGATAGATAGATAGATAGATGGTAGTGAGTGGCGTTAGTAATTAAACAGTGCTCGATGTAAAATAACAGAGCTACAATATCTACTAATAAATATAGTAGTTGGCCCTAATCGATAATGAGAGTTGTACCAAACAGTGAGGAACAAATATATATATATATATGTGTGTGTGTGTGTCTGTATGTATGTCTGTATGTATGTACAAAAATTAAGAATACTTTATTTTTTACATTAATTTTACAACTTTTATCGAAATTCAACAAAATTTTCAAGTGCTGGAAAAATAAAAATAATAATTACAGCATTTTGAATATTGCTTTGGTATGAAATGTCAGAGTTGTGCAATTTGGTTAAGATATTAAATATATTTATATATATATATATATATATATATATATATATATATATAAATCTGTTATTTTACATTGAGCACTTGGTTTTCCATTACATTATAGAGTATTTTGTGTATTTTTATACGATCGCTTTATGTTACACCTCCTATACTTACATTTGTTTATATATATTTTATATATATTTATATATATATATATATATATATATATATATATATATATAATGTGTCTGTGTGTGTGTGTGTGTGTGTGTGTGTGTAAAATTTATTCAATAATTTTGTGTTGTTTTGTTGGATCTCCAGCAGTTTATATCTATCTTCACAATCTGTTCATTTATAGCTATTTAGGAGTGGGGTGCAGAAAAATCATTATCCCAGTACTCAAAAATTAGAATACTACTATTGGTAAGTTAGTTACACTGAAACCTTTTCAGCACCTTCTGTGTCTATATATCTCATTAAAAACGACAAACAGAAATTGTTTATACGTTTGCTTTCAACATTTTTATTCACTTTTCTTGTTAACGTACTAAAGAGCATATATCTGAGTCCAGTGTGTATAGATCTTGTCCAAATACTGCTGACAATATGAATATCCTGACATTGTTAAACTGAACACTTCTCTGTTAAATTCCTACTACACACGTTAAACGTTGAAGACAGACTAGAAACATATGTACACGAATGACAAATGTAACCTAGCCTATATGGCAACACAGTGCCATCTACTGTAGACTTTCTTTATATTTAATAACTCAAAAAAAAATTGCAGACTTATATGTACGTGTGTGTGCGGATATAAGTGTGTGTACGTATGTGTGCAGACATGTATATGTATGTACGATTCCACATGAACAAAGTATAAGAAACTTTCTTCTCTAATGCAAAACTACCTTTTATATGAACAGTTGCCATTTGAAACTTTTCAGTGGATTTCTTATTATTAACGTTCAGACAAGAAAAATGGGTGCATTGAAAAATTAATTACACCAAACAATTGAATATTTTATATTGTGAACCTGCCAGAAAGAAATGAAATCTACTCTTGTTTTACAAATTTGCAGTAGACACAAAATCCGCCCCTAATAAAATTTCCATTGACCAAGATTGTAAAATTAATATTTCTTTGTTAGACACCTCTTCAACTTTGATATCAGATTTTATTGCGTGTGGCTTCTTTTCAGAACTGCCCGAAACTCCTATACTATTATTTTTCCATCAATATATATATATGTCTGATCCTTACCCCTCCTTTTTCAATATTAAGTATTATAATAAAAAGAAATGTGAAAATAAATTTTAAAACTCTCCCTTCCCTCTCTAAATTTGACCATGACTCTCACACCATTCCCCACCACCCTCTATGTCAACTTATATAAACTTAATACTGCCCGTCAAAAGTGTAAATCTTAAATTCATTTTTTTCGTTTCACCTTTGAAAGTGAAGTCTGAAGATCCAGAGAAAAATAAAATTCTCTGGTGAAATAAATTATTACAAATGGAGCCTTAAAGTGGTCTGTTTTTATTTTATTAATATATATATATATATATATATATATATATATATATATATATATATATATAAGCATCGAATATTTTGAGCATAAATATCGTTTTTAGTATAAAAAAGAAAAGTAAAGTGATAACTAAGTTTTAAAATGCATTTAAAAGAATGAAAAATCTTTCTTGAAGCTTTTATTTTAGTTTTAATTGCAAGCTAATAGATTAAATTTAATATTTCCAATAAGCAAAATACTTTGCTAAATTTCAAACCGAATTTAAATTGATTGGACTTAGTTCTTCCTATTATCAGTAAAATTCATAAAATTGTCAATATTGACAAATCTTTCAATGCAATATAATACTATTTATAAAACAAAAACTTTCAAAAATAAAATATACTTTTCAGAAACGTTATTTCTGATAAATTAGCTGATTTAAAGTTTAATTAATTTGATTTGAAATAAATATTACTTTTAGTTTAAAATATCGCAGAAAAGATTTTAACACGGAGATGTCTGTTTTTATGAGGTGTTGAATGATGTATTGATAGCCTGATCTTTGGGTAATTTATCTAAGGGAGACAATAACTAAAAAATTTTAATGACGAATACAACGTAAACGCCTTTTTATATACGTTGTTTTCACTACCCAGTAATCTTAAAAAATGAAAATATTTTATTGAATTTTAGACACTTAAGCTTTATAGTCCTACTGACGAAGAGTCGGTTGAGGAAATGTTAGAAATTTACCTGTTGTGTTGCTAGTTGTATGTTTATTTGTGTCAAATAAGAAAGAACACGCAATTCGAATCTTTATACATTTTATTTACTATTGGATAACCGTAGATGTAAAACATAACCAGTGGATTACCGGTAGACTGATAGTTCTTATACGTGACATGTGAGGATGTGTAACCGCCATCTTGAAATCACTTTTCTTCACTGTTGTCTTAGAGAGTTCTTATCAAGGGCCATAACTTGCTTTACCTCTAGGGAGCGAGTTAGCTCCCCTGTTATGCTATCGTCTTAACACATCCCACCTACGACTTGTAGGATGTTACCTGTAGAGATGTGGTTAGTTTTCGCTTACGGTTTGTCCTCGTCATTATTACTTTTCGTTGAGTCTTTGGTTGTTTATTGGTTTTCACTTGAAAACTTTGAGGCAGTTCTAGTGTGTCCAATAAAACATTGAGTGGAATGACTGTGTCATTCGTTTTAGTCTCTGAAAGGCGAGAAGGGCGTAATTTATTGGTGTGTTTAACTTGGATAAATGACTGCACATCAAAATCATAGATGACGTTTCCAGTTCGATGCACGATGTAACCTGATGTTAACTTTTCTTTGCTGTTACGATAATCCTTGGCAAGTGCAGGTTGTCCTGGTACAAATACATGTTGCGATGGCTAAATTGTCGCCAAATGATATTTTTAATTTCGCGCATGCGCGTTGTTTATTTTTTATTTTATTTTGTTCACTGCACAGTATAGTAGGGTCAGATGAGCACCGTCTCTGAGAAAAAGAGCACCACGACGCAATTCTCTCCGTCAGAAATTTGAAAACGGCATCCTGTACTGCTTGGCATTCGCACCGAAAGCTCCAATAAGAATATTTCTGAGTGTTTAGGTGACAGGCTGAGAAGAGTGCAGAAGATTCGGAAAACGTTGGATGATTCTAACGGTGATTACGAAGGTGTTAAGGGTGATCATTAGTGATAGCGACCTTATGCCTCCATTTATCTTCCTACATGGGCCTCAGACTCAACACACAGGCCTGCATCAAGTGCCTTGAGGAGGTAGTGCTGTCCTTGTTGAAGAGTGTGGAAGACCCTATGTCTGTCAACAAGACTGCTACCATGGCACACAAACAGAACTCTGTTATGGACGTCACAGAATTTTTGCAACCACTTCACCCCTTGCATCCGGCCACCTCACTCCCCAGAGTGCAATCCCCTTCATTTTTATGTTTGGGTCGCAGAGAGACTAACAAAGGTCCTGATAAGACCAAAGATGAACTGTTGGCAAGGATTATGACAGCATTCACCAATTTAAACAAGGAGAGACCGTCCGGAAGAGTTGCAGGAAATTCTGAACTCGTCTGGAGGTCGTGGTTGAAGCTGATGGCGATTTTATTGAATCAATTTTACTCTTTAGTATTTCAAGATATTTTTGTGTATTTTTGGCAAATATATCTTTTGAGATGCGATGTCAGTGTTGCTTTTAATTTTTGCGTCATTTAGACGACAATTTATCCATCGCACGCTGTAACATCTTTAATCAGTTCATATACATAGACATATATATATATATATATATATATATATATATATATATATATATATATATATAATCAGTTCATACAAACACTCACACAAAACACACACACACACACACATATATATATATATATATATAATCAGTTCATACAAACACACTCACAAAAAGACACACACACACACGCATATATATATAATCAGTTCATACAAACACACTCAAACAAAAAAGACACACACACAAAGACACACACACACAAAGACACACACACACACATATATATATAATCATTTCATACAAACACACTCACACAAAAACACTCACACACACACACATATATATATATATATATATATATAATCAGTTCATACAAACACACTCACACAAAAACACATACACACAAAGACACACACACACATATATACATATAATCAGTTCATACAAACACACTCACACAAAAACACACACACACAAAGACACGCACACACACACATACACATATATATATATATATAATCAGTTCATACAGACTCACACAAAAACACAC